ATAGCATTTTTATAAAGCTCATTATATAGTTTAGACTAGCACATAATATATGGTGAAACTTGTTTTTTAAAAGAATAATAGTGAACAGTGGGGTGCAGGAACTAGAACTGGCGCAGCCACCGTTGCCCGGCCAGGGACTTGAGCCGAACTATCATCGTCAGAATGTCGGGCAAAGACCGAATTGAGATCTTTCCCTCACAAATGGCACAGACCATCATGAAGGCTCGATTGAAAGGTGCACAGGCAGGCCGGAACCTCCTGAAGAAAAAATCTGATACCTTGACTCTTTGATTTCGACAGATCCTAAAGAAAATCATAGAGACCAAAATGTTGATGGGTGAGGTGATAAGGGAAGCTGCCTTTTCCCTTGCCAAGGCCAAGTTCACAGCCAGGGACTTCAGCACCACAGTTATCCAAAATGTAAATAAAGCCCAAGTGAAGATTCGTGCTGAAAAAGGTAATGTAGCAGGTGTTACTTTGCCAGTGTTTGAACATTATCATGAAGGAACAGACAGCTATGAACTGACTGGTTTAGCCAGAGGTGGGGAACAATTGGCAAAGTTAAAGAGGAACTATGCCAAAGCAGTGGATCTCCTGGTGGAACTCGCTTCGCTCCAGACCTCCTTTGTTACTTTGGAGGAAGCTATTAAGATAACCAACAGGCGTGTCAATGCCATTGAACATGTCATCATTCCCCGGATTGAACGATCCCTTTCTTACATTATCACAGAGCTGGATGAGAGAGAGCGAGAACAGTTCTATAGGTTAAAGAAAATACAGGAGAAGAAAAAGATTCTCAAGGAAAAATCTGAGGACTTGGAGCAGTGCAGAGCAAGTGGAGAAGTGATAGAACCTGCAAATCTTCTAGCTGAGGAGAAGGATGAGGACCTTCTGTTTGAACAGCTTCTCCCTTATCTGTCTGTCTGTTCAGAAATCCTAACTCTGGCTCCAATTCAATTCAGTGTGCAGGGTTGGTATGTGTGCCTATTTATTTTTTGGGGGCCTAAGAATCTCACTGGTGTTAAAATTTCCCAGGTTGGGAAGTTTAGGAATTACTTCTGCAACCTCACAGTTCAGCCGTGATATCAGAGATGTATAGAATTTAGGATTTGCCACATGGAAGTTACCAACACTCCATTTCCATATGTTACAAGTGATCTGCATACCAAGCTTATTAGGAAATGCCACCAGAGAAGAAACATCAGTGGTCTCAGGCCGTGTACCACTGTGCACCCCTTGTTCCTGCCCCCATGCACCTAGGCACTCTTGTCTGATAGTGCTGCGGCTGTCTTTGTGTGGCCGTGGCACTTCTCTCCAAGTTTTATGAATACCTTCACTTTTCTTTCCTTGGATGACAGGCCTGTCCTGTCTATCGTGGGAGTTCTGTCAATTTAAATATGACTATGGTCTAAGCAAAGTAAAGTGATTTAAAAACAAAAAACAAAACAAAACAAAAAAGAATAATAGTGAAGAAATGATAACTGCAATTATCCAGAGATTAGTTACTTCCTAGGTGGAGCTATGGAGATGGAATCGAGGAGGTACACCTATGGAGCTTGGGTTTCTGGTAATGTTCTAGTTCTTAAATTACATTGTTGTTGTTGTTAAGTGCTGTCGAGTCGCTTCCGACCCATAGCGACCCTGAACAGGGTTTCCGAGGCTGTGTATCTTTACGGGAGCAGAAAGCCTCATCTTTTTCCCACGGAGCAGTTGGTAGTTTCGAACTGCTGACCTTGTGGTTCGCAGCCCGATTCGTAACCACTACGCTACCAGAGCAGTGGATGGTTAATTATATTACTAAGCCTTCCTACACCTTATATGGAGTCCTGGTCTGACACTGTGGATTAATGTGATGGACTGCAAAGTCAGTTTGAACTGCAAGGTCTGTCGTTCAAACTTACTAGCTGCTCCTCAGAAACCCTATACAGGGTCGCTATGGGTTGGAACCAACTCAACAGTACTTAACAACAACAACACCTTATATGGAAAGAACTCTGGTAGCATAGTGGTAGCATTAGGCTGCTAACCTCAAGGTCAGCAGTTCGAAACTACCAGCTGCTGCTCCATGGAAGAAAGATGAGACTTTCTGTTCCTATAAAGATTTATTGCCTCAGAAACCCTCTGCAGGGTTGTTATGAGTTGGAACCAACTCCAGGGCACATAACTACCACCATTACTACCACACCTTATATGGGGAGTGCGGTGGCTCTGTAGGATAAGCACAAGACTGCAAACAACGTTGGCAGTTCGAGTTCTCCAGTTGCTCTTGGAAGAAAGATGAGGCTTTCTGCCCTTGCAAAGATTTACAGCCTCAGAAACTCTATACAGGGTTGCTTTGAGTTAATAATCCTTAACAACAACAGCTTATATAAGGAGCCCTTACAGATATTGTATGGTATCAAATATTACCTATACAAAAGTTAGAAATATGTGGGTGCAAAATGAAATCTATAATTGTCTTTCAATATGCAAAAACATTTTCCATAAACAATAACATAGAGAACTTAGCTCCTTTCTCTGTCTCCAAGGCAGAAAATACTGGATCATCTTTTACTGTTTTAACCAGTCTCATAGTAGCAGTAGCTGCATAGACAGCTTTTATATGAGAGGTGTTAGGGTATCAGATTTCTTTTAAATAAACAAATAACTTATAGTGTGAACTGTCCACCAGAACAACCAGAGTCAGCACTGTGGTTGTTGTTAAGTGACACTGAGTCAGTTCTGACTCATAGCAATCCTCTATAGGGTTTCCAAAGAGTGACTGGTAGATTTGAACCACTGACCTTCTGTTAGGAGTTCAGTGCTGATCCTACACCACCACACCTGGACTCCCTGAGAAAATACAGGAGACAACATAAAATCAGTAGTGTCTTTTACACCAGCAATAATCACGAATAAGATATCATGAAAACATTCACAACAGCCACAATAAACATCAGCAATTTTGTTTGTTGAAGACTCATCCCGAGAACTAGACCAGAGAAATGGCAGTTACCACGTACATCTTGAGGCGCTCACATTGACCTTACTCAAGGATCCCCCAACCCCTTAAGCTTCACAGAAGTTGTGACTTCATTGCAGTCACTTCCTTCCCAAATGGAGCCAGACCTCAGACTACCCTTAGCCACTGCTTTGAGGTAGCTGATTACAGACAAGTAGCCTCCACTTCCATTATCCCAGCAGTCATCTCTAATGCATTTGAACCACAAAATGGACCCTTGCTTCTTTCCTATTCCTGCTCCATCTTCATAAACGGAAACAAACAGACAGGCACCCCCCAAGGGTACAAAATATTTTCTTTCCAGATAATTTTAAAGGAAAGGGGCAAAAGATGCATATGTGGCTAATGGAGCTTCTATGGCTGAAACGATTTATCTGCAGATGTGCTCTGATTAGCCACACACTGATCAATTTGCTGTGCTGCTGTAATTGAAATTTATCATTCTATTTGAGAGCAGTGAGCAGTGGTGTCCATCTGAAGGCAATCAAGGCTCTTCCCATTACAGAAGGCTGGCACTTTGGCCCTTAAGTATAATAAACTGGTACACACTGGAACCTCAAATTCAGTGAAATTTCCAACTTCTTGTTATACTTTTTTTTTTTTTAATTTTTATTGTGAATTGAGTGATACTTTACATAGGAGAATATCAGTTTTACACTCATCATTTCATTGTAATGATTACAATCTCCTCCGTGCATCATCATCCAACAGTATTTGCTTCTATTTCTTTTTTTTTTTTTTTTGGGGGGGGGGAGGTGTAGGGGATGTACACAAAAACACTCAGGAATAATCATTTAAACAACCAAAGGGTACATTCTGCAAGCCTACCTCCTGGCTGTCAGCACACAGCCTTTCTCTTGCCATGAGTCTAGAGTTTTCAAATACTCTCTCTCTATGTTATCATCTCTGCCTCCATCTCTGGTGTCACTGCTTCTCTGGATAGGGTCCCACATTCCACTTGTGCTCTTCTCTCTTGATGGTCCTAGGGTCCTGGATTGTAAGATTAACTACTCCCCCCTTTTTGATATACTTTCTTTTATATATGACACTATGCTGGTATCTTAAGATGTATATGGAGGGTAAAGCAAAAATATTAAAGTGACAAGTTAACTAAAAGAGCTGACTATTCAGAAGAAACATAAAAATGTTGTGACCGCCCACCCCCCCCAAATTGAAAAGCATTTCTGGAGAAAACCTTGAGAGACAATAGCATAGAATCATGCTTTGGGCCTTGCCTAAGCCTGGCATTGTTCTGGTAGCATTAATACATGCTCACGCGGAGCCAGAAGAATGGAAGCACTTCAAAAATTACTTAATGGACTTACAAAAGTGAATGAAAGAAGTCCACAGCCAAGTTTTACATATATCTGGTCCTTTGTCAGCTACAGAATTTTAGGGAAGCCAGAGGTTTAGGTCTAAATTCAGAGAAGTCCACCCAACACCAGAACTACTGCCTAATTCAAGCAGCCCTGGGACCAGAATTCAATTGTGTGTGTGCTTAGGTTTTTATTGCTGCTGAGAATACACAAAGTAAAACATATATGTCAATTCATACTGTTTAGTAGTACGATTACATTCTTCAAATTGTACAATTATTTTCATTCTCCTTTTCTGAGTTGTTCCCTCCTCCTTGACATAAACTCACTGCCCTCTAACTTTCCTATCTCACCTTCTGAAATGCTGTTGTCAGTTTGATCTGATAAAGACAGATCTTTAAAAGCACACTGCTCAATACAGACATTCTTTACTAGGGAAACTAAGCTATCATCAGGTTTTGAGACTTGGAAGGATATTTTTGGTTTGAGGTTTAAAGATTATCTCACAGTAACAGTTTTAGGGGTTTACCCAGCTCCATGAGTCCAGAAAATGTGGATTCCATGAAAATTTTTAATTCTGTTCTAGATTTCCCCCCTTTTAAATGGGATTCTTTTATAGAATGATCAAAATGTTCAGTAATGATAGTCAGGCACCATCTAGTTCTACTGGTCTCATGACAAAGGAGGCAGCTGTCCATGGAGGGAATTAGCCACATATTCCACATAATCCTTCGATTCTTGATTCTCCTTCTTCCGCTTTTGTTCTAGGTAAATAGATACCAAATTTTGTGCCTTGGATGGTCCCTGGCAAGTTGATTGGTTTTTATCTTCCTGTGAACTCTTGATTCTTGCTGGTTTGAGGAATAAAGGATATGCTGGAAAACATGTTCTCTTGCACTCCTTACCCACATCTATAAGCCCAGAAAAAGACCTCTAACAGTGCAGACATCTTTTAAGTGCTCCTAAGACAGCCTAAACACAACACTGGGCAAGGGACAGAAAGCCTTAGAGAAACCATAGAACACAATCCATATGGCACCACAGTGTTGTTTTGTTCTGGGAACTGTGCTCTTAAGACAAAACCACAACAGTAGTTAATACATGAAGAACCACTTTCTAAGTTATCAAGCAGATACTGATCTCTGCTACTACACAGCCCAGGGGAAAACTGGAAGAACCCCCATGGCTTATTTTTTAGGATCATGCTTGTAATGGTATCATTTGAAAAGCTATACAGACAAATATCATTCTGTACTGCCCAAATTATTAGAACAGCCCGTAGTATCTAAACTTTGTGCAGTACGGTCTCTACTAAAGATTTCAAGAGAAAGGCCAGGATCCAGACTTTGAGAAAAAGAGTCTTTGAAGACATCTGATCTGGACAGGTTGCCATCTCTTATGATTACTTCCTGTGTGGTTGTGAAAGTTAGTGGGATGAAGCCTTCGCTATCAGCAGAGAGAAGGATCCAGAGGGAGTCTGTAAAGGAAAATACACCAATAGGCAATTTAGGAGAGTCTCTTATTTTGTAAAAAAAAAAAAAGACTAAAAATGTGGTTTTCTTGAGAAGAGGAATATAATAGTTGGTTAGATAGTCAACCTGATTTAAGAGAGAATGGGGAGATACAAGGACTATTAAAAGTTATATGGCAGGGATGGGATGCCGATGACTTACACTACCCAAAGTTATTACTCAGGCAGAGTAAAGGGACATATATTCAAGCTGGGCATTTATCACTCAGTGTTATGATTCATGTTTGTATTAGGGGTTATATGTGCAACATCCATACCGTATCTACATACTGTTAACCAAACTATGTGAAGTTGGGACAGACACTTTAATAAGGAGGAATATTCTTTAATCTGTAGATCCACACCAGTAGAAACCCAAGGAGCCTCAGCCTAGACTAGAGTGGTCCAAATCCTGAATGGTTTAATCCAGGATAATCTAGGGATCACTAGCATAATACTTGCTTGGACTACCTTTTAAATTTAGTATGTCATTCTTTTAAATTTAGCATGCCTTAACTTTTTGACACTGGGATTTCATTTCTGAAAATGTACTCTACCCCCTCCCCCAATACTCATATACATATATATATGGAATCCTAGTCTGGTGCTGTAGGTTAATGCACCAGACTGCAAAGCTGTTTGAACTGCAAAGTCAGCGGTTCAAGCTCACCAGCTGCTCCTCCGAAACCCTATACAGGGTCACTATGGGTTGGAACCAAATTGACGGCACTTAACAACAACAACAACATACATATACACACGCATGCATATGATGACCACGTGTCAAAAACATACTGACAGTACAATGTTAAGAGAAAAACAATAAAATGTCATGTTCCACGTGAGCTGCTGTGAAAAGAATGAACATAAGAAAAACAAAGAATTAACGTAAGAAAACAGACATGCTTCATTGATATGACAGAGCATGGGCACAACTCAACCTGTAGATTGCTATTGCAAGGAGAGATAACCAAGGCCACTTTGCAATTTATTACTAAAATACTTGTAGGATCAAGGTGGTTGAAGAAGCCAAGGTGAAGTCTGAATATAATAAACCTAAACCACTTTCTCTTCTGCTTTTCATGATAATGCATGATAAACCTAAAATAACTTATAAACCTATAAGTACTTAGACTAACTGACCACGTGAACACCAGTCCCCACCATCTGGAGACCAGAAGAATGAGATGTTGCTTGGCCACCACTACCAACTGCTCTGAAAGGGATCACATTAGAAGGTCCTGGATAGAAAAGGAGAAAAATGTGCAACAAAACTCAAAATCCTAAAGAAAAGACCAGGCTTCCTGGTTAGAGTCTGATAGCACCTCTAAGACTATGGCACTTAAGTCACTCTTCAGATGTGGAACTGAACCCACCCCCATGGCTTAGGTGTATAAGGAGAACAATAACACTAGTGAGGAAAGCACACCTTACAAAAATCAACCATTTGAGATCAAAAGGGCAGCATGCACCCAAGGACAAAGTCCAGAATGTTAGAAAGGAGGAATGGAAACAGAAACACAGGAGGAAGAAAAATCTGTGATGTTACATTGAGGGGATTGCAATCAGAGATAAAAGAAAGTGTGCATGACTTGTTGAATGTAAAATGGATGAGTTGCTTTGTAAACATTCACCCAATTCACAATAAAAGTGAAATACAACGAAAATATGAGAATTGTCTTACATCGTTAGTTATTCAAGTTCCTTATGTATTATTTTCAGTATCTTTTATTATGATAAATCTATGTAAACATTAAAATCATGTAAGTTAAAAAAAACTAAAAAGAATGGCAGCTTCTTAAAGAAACATTCTGCTATGCTGCTATGATTTTTAGTATAAGAGGCATACATGAAGGTTTTGTTATTTGTTATAAATTGCTTTGAAAGTCTTTTCTAGTAATTCTAGGTGTACATTTAAATTGGCACCAGAAGAGGCTTAGATATACAGTAGGCAATTAATAACACTTAGAAATTATCTAGCGAAAACTTTATTTTCACTATAGTGAAAGTTACAAAATCGAGGGTGGAGGGAAGAAGTGTTGAATAGTGTGGTTTTCTGACTTTAACCTACCATGCAGCATTTCAATGAGAGAGACATCAAACGTCTGCTGGACCGCACTGAGTCTGAGTTTGCCATCACAGAGAAGCACAGCTCTTTTTTCAACACCAGAGTAAGGTTTCTTCAAATACAGAAATTAAAGTTGTTAAACAGATTGCAGAAGCAATAGAGTTAATATTTCTTAAGAGTACAATGGGTGAATCGCTTTTGTTTTCTTTCCATTTTCATCTATTACCACTCTCAACTAAATTTGCTTTAAATAAGGTGCTCTTTGCTGCCCATGGAGCAGAATAAAACAACCTCTAACTTCTACTTCCTAGTGCTCTGACCTTTCCGGTGCTATGTCTCTAGCAGTGGAGCTGGCTTTCCTAAGGAATAACTAATGACATTCAGGACAGTAGCCTAAAAGACAAGGAGCCCTGGTGACACTGTGGTTAAGTTCTTGGCAAAAAGATCAACAGTTCAAAAACCCGAGCAGCCACTTTGTGGGAGACAGATGTGGTAGTCAGCTTCTGCAAAGAATGGTGATGGTTATGTGCTGTGGAGTCGCTTCCGACCCACAGCGACCCTGTACAGGGTTTCTGAGGCTGTAAATCTTTACGGGAGCAGAAAGCTTCATCTTTCTCCTGCGGAACAGCTGGTAGTTTCGAACTGTTGACCTTGAGGTTTGCAGTCCGATGCGTAACCACTACGCTAGCAAAGTTCCTTAGATTACAGCCTTGGAAACCCTGTGGAGCAGTTCTACTCTGTTCTATAAGGTGATGTAGAGGCAATGGGTATTTTTTGTTTTTTTAATTTTTTTTATTTAGCTTGAAAGATACAACCTGACTCTGAAGAACAATGACTAGACTGCTTTAGATATAGTTCAGACAAAAAAAATGACAGGGTAGTAAAGGATTACCATAAACAAATTGGGATCAAACTTCACTTAACTTACAGAAAGTACAAAGGAAAATAAATGTTTAAAATTTTAAGTCAAATTAAAAATGGAATCCTCTTTAAAAATTGTTTCAAATA